CGGGAAAGGCCTCCCTGAGGGGCGCTGCGCTAGTCACGTGCTGCTGGGCCCGCAGGCACCTCTGCTGCAGGCCTCGCTCGGGGGTGAGCCCGGCAGCAGTTGCTGGGCAAGGACCGTTGTTGCAGAGGTCGTAAGGGTGCTGCTTAAGTGTGGTACGGGCCTACCCTTGCTTGCCTGAGTGAGGTACAGGCCTGTCCTCTCGTGCTTGTTCAAGGTGAGTGCATCACTAGGCTGTTGGAAAGGGTTTAGTCTATCATCAGGTTTTGCTATCCTGGTGAGCTGGATGCTGTTGTGAGGAGCAGGGTGATGGCTGCCCTTTTGCCAGTTCTCTGGCTGGCATTGTGTGGGCTTTGGATTTTCCTGGTATCGCCATTATGGCCATAGCCAAGCAAATGGTGATGCAAAATGACTTTACTTTCTTTCAGTGCTGCTCTCTGCTGCACTGGTACAGATGATGAGCATTGCAGTATGAGGGGATACAATGATACTGTAAACGCTTTCTGATGTACCTTATCCTTAATGTTGTCTTAAAATGCTACATCTAAAAATTAATTTCTCATACCCAATTAACATGAGAAGATTTGATCAAATGCTAGAAACAACATTTTTGGAATGAGGGTAAGTAAATACTGGAACAGATTGCCTAGAGGGACTGTGGAGCCTCTGTTCTCAGAGACATTTAAACTTAACTGGATGTGGTCCTGGACCAGCTGGTCTCACTTGGCCTTACTTTTGAGTTCTGTGGGGAGGTGATGGACTTAACCTCCAGAGATAACATCCAGCCTAAATGATCTTGTCCTAAGTACTGGGTCCCTCTCCTCTTAGGAGGGAGGAAAATTTTTTGAGAATGAATGTTTAGTATGTCAGTCTGAATTTTCCTGTTAGTGCTCTGGGTATCTCACTGTTACTAAGTGGATGAGGAAGCAATTAAAGTATCTTATTGGTTGCAAAATTAAAATTTCTTTTCTTTTCCAGAATATTCCATTTTCTATTGAAAACAAATGGCGATTATTGGCAGTAATGTGTGCATTTTTCGGAAGTGGATTTGTCTTCCCTTTTGTTATAGTCAGACACCAGCTCCTTAAGAAATGAAGAGGACAGGCTGTAATCTCGCTAACTGGGTAACTGATTTTGTTAGATACTCTAGCACTGGAATCTGGTCAAAAATGAGCTTTAAGGAGTCAAACTTCACCTATTAGCATCACTACATTTTACAGGCCTTTCCAGACCAGCTGCTTAGTTTGTGGTCTGAAGTTGCTACTGAAACTCATAGAACAGGCTTAAGTTTGTTTCACATAGCTGCTGAGCTGTCATTGATTTGTGAACTTTGACTCCCCAAAGACAGCTTCATGGGATTCCCCATCTGGGCAAATGGGTAGTAGAATGGTACCGGTTTGGATAATTGCAGTAACGAAAGAGATCCACCTTCATTAAAGAAACACAGCTATACCTAGTATAATCTGTAGAAATATCTGGCACACATGATGTGAACAAAACAGTGTGAGAAACTGTGATGTTGTAAACGCTTTCTGATGTGCCAGTTAAAAATGGAAAACAAGACTTTCTGAACTTCAGTTCTACCATGTCAAAACAATCATGACACCTACATACAGCACTCGTTTGTTTACTGTATAAAATGCATTTCTTAAAATAAGGTGGTTACGGTGGTTTTATCACAACTGGTGCCATGTTAACTGATGCTGGCTGATGACCTTTACAGAAAAAGTAAGTTTCAAACACTGTGTGGGCTCTGGAAGCATGCCACTTCCAGTTGAAAGACTTCTTTAATTTAACTCAATTTAACAGATCCTACTTTGGAAATAATTGGTACCCAGAGATGCAATAATGTGAGAAGTAGCAAATCTTTCTGAGAAGCTGGAATGACCTGAGTAGTTTTTGGAAGGGAATATAATGCTCACTGGAATTTCATAAGCAGAACACATTATCTGTATAATTCTTTCAGTCTGATACTTTTGGCCACTTTTCTTTCTGGGATGTGAAAGAAAAGCTATAAACTGGGAGACCTGTACTGATGTTGAGCGCTTGGCTGTGTACACTCAGAAGTACAGGCCTTTGCCACAAAAATTTGTAGTGGATGAAGCAAAGCAGGTCAAAATTGTAATTAAAGCACATCTCCATATCTCTTCTAGATTCAATTTGTTAATTCTTTTTCTTGCAGAGCTGAAGCCTTCTACACAGCAACTTTCAATGGGAAGATGACTGAAACTATATACCATGCTGGATATGTCTGTAAATAAATCTTTAATCTGAATATCTTGGACTGTCTGTTTTGTGAAACTCCTGAAGCCCTTCAAATTGCAATGCACTGACATTAGGGTGAACACTGATGTTCTTTATCTCCTGTTCTTAAACTGAAATTGTTATTTATTCTCCTTCCTTTTCTTCTCTCCATCTCTGTAAAGCTAAAATTGGGCTAATGGAGTTTTAGGATGGACTGGATACTTAAGTCGCTTTGCGATGCTGTGTGGACATCTCAGAAGTCTTTAGAGTCACTGTAGAGTAATGACCTGGGATAGATTAGGCAATAAGCCTAACAGTGGGTATGCTGTCAGTAATCCATGCCACAGAATTTGCGTCTTCAGTATTTCAGGTTGATTAGTTGAAAACACTTATTTGGTTTTGTTTCCATGCTTAGGAGTTTCTCATGAGTTTTGTTGAAGTTCTTCTGCTAAAGATCCCTTCTGTCTGCTGCCTTATTGCTGTGAATATATGGGTTGCCCTATGAAGAGTCTTAGCTGATTTCCTAATGCTTTAGGCTTGGGGTATAAAGTAACTGGAAACAAGTATATAACAAGGCAATAACTACAGCCCGTGCCAGAAAACCTATTGGTGATAGGGATTCTATAGCTTATCAAAATTTCTTAGTTATTACTAAGAAATTAGTTGCTGTATCTAAAGAATTGATAGCTTTAAGTTTGCAGTTCTAGTCTTAGTGTACATTCGTGCCTAATATATAATCTGAATAATTAAAGGCAATCTCTGAACTGTTAAGAATACTGTCAGGATACTTCTACCAACTTGGATATGACAATCATAAATTTAAATGAGTGCCCCTGTTCATGGCATAGGTACGAAGTCATTTTCATATTAATCTATGCTGCAGTAGTGTATCTACTTATTTTTAGCAGCTCTTTGTTGGGAGTACTTCACTGGCTAAATATGTAACTTCAATACTGGGTTATGCTAGTGTATTTGTTATTTTATCCTTTCAAATAATGCTGTTACCAGAATTTTGATTTGCTTTCCTTGAGTGAGGTTCTTTGGCTTGCTTTTCTTCCTAAAACAAGCTGTTCTATAACAGTGTAATATGGTTTGCAACATCTGTCAGCTTGTGAACTTGAAAGGTCACTTCCACAACAGTTCAGGTTCTGCTAGTATAGTTCAAATCTAGGCTAATATCAGTTGATTGTGAAATACAATCAATGAAGTGTGTAAAAGGGGCAAAAAATATCATAATGGAATAGTAATTGGGTGCCACATCTCTCTTCCTAGTGGTGCCTTTAAAATGATGAGTAGTGTCTGAAGAGATTGGGAAGAGGCAAAGAGGAAGAATATATCTGTTGATAAAACTGTCACTGGAAGCAGAAGAAAACCTAATGAAGGATGGTGATTTTGGTCAAAGGACCAGCAATGGCCAAAGGAAAATGATTGTATGGAGAAAATCTCATGATTCAGAGGAAGGATCCCAAACTCTAGAGGTTTCAGATTGTAAGAATGAGGTATAATTTGTTTCTTACTGTAACTTTTCTTTTTTGTCTAAAGAATAATTGCTTTGAACAGACTTTTACAGAGTGTGTTGTCCCTTCATGTCTTGGAGTGAACTAATGTGTGTTTACAGTGTGGCTGTCAAAGCATTCTGTTCCCCTGTTATCTAGGAAATCTGGAAAAGCTGACAGTAATTTCTTGGTCTAGGGATGGGACTATAGCTTCTTCCAAGAATTGAGATGCTATAAAAAAAAATTGTGCTGCTTATGCAAAAATCAAATTGAACTACCTTTGTGGGAGCTTCTAGACACTCATGTGCAACAGGAAGTAGCTGAGACTCAAGTCAGATGTCTCTGTTGTGCAGAGTAAATAGTGAAAGCCTGTTACAGAATCACATTTTTCGTACAGCATAGAGATTTAACTTCCATTGTGTATTTAACTTGTAGCACTCACTAGTGCTTGATCACATTTTAAATAAAGCTTTCTCTTTCATAGCTTTCCTCCTTGTTACTCCTAAGTCCTTGATGTATTTAAGAGCAGTGACCATCGGTGAAGGTTTATCATGCTGTTCTGGGCAAACCAGTTCCTTTAATCTTCTGTTAAAATCAGCTCTTTCTGAATATTATTCCCTTCTCTCTACTTCTATTTAAATCAATTTTTGAACATGGCTGGCTAAACTTGGTTATTTTAGGTGAATTTTTAGAGCTTTCCTCCTCTCATTGTTTATTCTAAAACTGTAATTATCTCTTTCATAATGTCATTACAGTGATGGATTATAGTCATTTAGAAACAAAGAGGTCCTAGGAGCTACTAGTTTATAAGTAATTTGAAAATTACGACCCTATTTCCTCCCCCCACACCACCCCAACAGCTTATAAAAATTATTGATGAGAATCACTGTACGCATAACCTTGCATCTCATGCTGTTTCACTTAATTTCTATTACTGCAACAATAGGGCATACTCTAGGGTATGATCTAAACCTCCACTGCACTGAGAGTTGTTTTCCAGCTTGCATCTACTGTGTACTCCTCCTCTTTGTGTTTGCTAGCAGGAGTAGTACAAACAATTAATTCATGTTATCTCTGCTTGGAGCAAGTTAGGTGACTTAAATATATCATGTTGGTCAGCTATGAATTAGTATTTGATAAAACCTATGGTTATGGTATCCTGTTTCTGTATCTATTAATTATTCTTTCCTTTAAAAGGAAAGTTTAGCAGAACTTTGCTGTGGCCTTTTTAATCTCATCTGCTCACTTAATATATTTAAGAAAGCAGAAAAAAATTAAGAACACTTGCTGTATTTGATCCATGCAGTTCTCCAGTTACTAGCTTGCACTTCTAACGAATCATCTATATATTTTAAGTTTCAAAATGGGTAGCCTTATTCTCCATTGATTATAAACTCAGTTTATGTGCTTTCAAAGCTGTAACTAATTCCTTTAGATTTGGACTGTTTCTCTGTAGGCTTTGCTTGAGCAGTTTTCAGTAACTTTCAAGTGCCATCAGTTATCCAGGCTGTAGATTCTCTATTTGATTTCACTAGTTTGTTGCCTTAGTTTTTCAAAACTTTCAGCTCTAGTAGAAACCAGTTACCAGATCTGTTTTAACTTGTCTTTCTATTAATGCAAACTGAGGTAGTCTGATCATTTTACTCAAAGACATTTTTTACTCCCAGATTATCGATCACTGTTGAACAAAACAAAGTCTAAAATAGTTGGTAGAAATACCAGTTTTCATCCAGACATAAGTAGCACCTATCATTAACATCAGATATTTGACAGACTTTAATTTCACAAAGGTACAATTCCAGATTGTATTTCTTTCTTTGCTGTTATGAAAAGATCGTTGCCAATATCGTAGCTTGATTTTTAGGAGTGTGTGTCACTGCCTGCAAAAACTTTTTTCCTGCTACTCCTAAAATTATTTTGGCCTAAATCTGTTCTGTTTTACCCATTCTATTGCTTCCTATTTAAGACCTCCTACTCCTCTGTTTTCTTACTGACTGCTGAATGGGTAAGCCAGAGAAACTCTGGGTAGATTTATGACATGTATCTACTACTAATCACTGTTCACAGTATATTTCACTGTTTTCTTCCATTCCTAGTCCCACAGCGTTGAAAGTCTTACGTATCGCAGCAAAATACTGGAGTGGAGTAAGTGATCTCTGGTGGAAAATCCTGTACTGGGCTCAGGAAGCAAATAAGGAACATACATACTATAAAGAAAAATAAGCCTTTTCAGTAATGTTAAAATTTGAAATAATAGCACCTGACTTGGAAGATTTGGCTGCTTGGTGCCTCTCAGTCTTCAAGTAAATGGAACTAGCCCATCTCTACAGCCCAACAACCCCCACCCTGCTTTCCTCCCCCAGAAGTTAGGGGGTGTCTAGTGTGAATTTATGACCCTATTAAATACCAAGCTTTCATCGACCTTAATGGAGCCGGAATCTAACTGAAGAATGACTTCTCGAAGCAACTTTTCACCACATGGAGTAACATGGAAATAGCCCAGAGTGTTTTCAGAGATGGCAATGCTGATAAATATCAATTTGTTCTTACATGTGTATAATAAAGTAGGAACAGATCAAATTTGTTAAAAAGTGGGAGTTCTAGAAATAAGTTAGCAGAAACATAAAACAGTCTGTACCACTGCACAGCTATACAATATAACCCATAAAATATTCATTTTCAAAATAGCCTTTTGGGATCCCAGACTTGGTAGAAAGTAAATCAATTCAAAAAACAAGAGGTAGAAAACTAAAACAGTCATGGGCTTGATGTTATAGACAAAAAGCACTGTGCAAGTAGTGCTTCTCTATCATTAGAATTGTTCAATGGAAAGAAGACGATGGTTAAAGAGCAGCTGGGAAATAAGTTAAACCTGTGTAAATGATAAGCTATTTTCTTTGCTGGCTGTAAGGAAAAAATCCCTTATGGTGCCTGATATATATTACACACACGAGCACACAGAAATTCTGTTTTGGCTCAAAATAGTTTCACTGTTTCCAGAGAGGTTCACACTTCAGTGTTTTAATGATATTAGATACAAGTAGCCTTTAAGCATTTTTTCATTTAAATTTTAAAAGATGAAATTTAGAAGATGTCCTTGTGTTTTGATACTTGAAATGGTTCCAGTTGGGGGATTTTTTTGGTTTACTCTAGAACATTATGTTGTCTCATTTCCATAAACACAGCTGAATAGTGAAAAAGACTTTATAAAGTGCTCTGGAGCTACCAAATTAAGTATTTGGATGGGGAGTGGAAGAGAGCGTGTATTACAAATTAAAATTTTTTAAAATAACAAATAGTGAAACTTCAGCACAAATGGGATGGCAAAGCAGCGCTCCAAATATATTTGTACTATATCACGTATCTCAAAGGTGTACAAAGGTTGCTAATTTTTAAGCAACATGATAGCAGATGAAATTTAGAAGAGATAATGGCAAGGTAGTAATGGGGTAATTTAAATTTCTCAATTGCAAGTGATGCATTTGGAGCTAGTCATGATCACTCAGGCAGATGTGGACAGATGAATGAAAACATCTGCTCAGTGTACAGTGGTAGATAATCAAAAAAGCAAGAAAGATGTTAACTGCTTCTAAAGAAAGTAATTTTTTCAGCTATAAAAAGGTTTCAACATGAAGGAAAAGTAAACTATTAGCAAGAAATAAGGGGGGAAAAAAAAGACATCCTATCTCATATGCATATGAAAAATATTACTAGTCCCAATATGAAGAATTCACTGCTCCCTTCTCCAAGCTGTGACTTCAGCACCAGGTTGGACAGCTAAAGTGCCTTTTTTTTTCTTTTAAGGGAGGGAAAAAGTTGTGAGCACCAACTTTTAACTGCTATTTTACTAAGCAGTATGCCACCCTACAGGAATGAAATTTAGTATAAATGTGAAGACTTAAAAAAATGAAGGATTTGTGCTTAATTATATTAAATGGGGTAAATATTTTGATGTAGTGAAAAGCATCAAATATATTTATTTTCCAAATGAAATCCTTCTGGAATTTCCGTTCAGCAATAAATTTTACAATATGTCCTCTTCAAATCCCATTTTCAGGGAACTTTTTTTTTCTTTAAAGGATAGAAACTTCAAGTTTTGCTCAGTTATGCCTTGAAGCATCTGGTATTAACCCACCTTGGGGACAGGGCACTGGATTTGATGCGTTGCACTTCTGAACCGACGTGAGAAACCCTTACATAAAAGAAATGCGTAATATTAGTGCAAGAGAAACCTGAGTAAGACTGGCCACATTTTCTTTGCTTCGAATTTTAGCTTTCTACGCTAATGACAGCCATTGGAAGTGATATGTTGCCTTATACAATAATTAGAGTACGAGTTATTTACAAAAATTAAGCACTAATCTTTCTTTTTGTCACTAATTAAATAGCACAGTGAAAATTAAAAATCCTTTCCAATGTAAGTTAGTAGCTGCTATGTTCCTTCTGGGGGTGGGGGGGCTTGGTGGCCAGAAATGTCTATTTCTGTTGCAGGTTAACATAGGAACATGAAACAATTTAGAGGTTTATAAACAAGTTGGGCTGGAGGAAGCAAACATGTAAGTGGAGCTGCCGTTGTCATGACAACCAAATTAGGCACCGTTCTCCTTGACCATGAGCTGCTCGCTGAGAGCTTGGGCCTCATTCCACAGGCTAACACCTGAAAACTATTTTTATTCTTTAAAGACAAAGGTCATGTATACATTGTACTTCATCTTCTTGGCTGATGTCCAGAATCTCAGTGTTAGTATAGTGGTATCAGTGGTTACTGTTCAAAAACATGAAAGGGAACTCTTAAGAAAAAAAATGAAAGAAAGAGATTACTAACATAGCTTCCTCCATCCATTAAAAAAAAAAAGTTTGTTTTCAGTTTCATGGACAAGAAAATAAAATTATAAAAGGGTGAAATGATTCGGAGCTGGGATGGAGTCAGCTGTCCTGTGTTATAAAAATATTCTCCTCTCAGTGGGGTGTGTCAAAGAGCCATAAGACACACACGTAGTCATTATTTTGATGTGTCAAAATAGAATATTTGGGGGGCTGCAGATTAATTCTCCGCATTGTTTAAGTTGAAACTGTGATGGGCATCAGAGGAACACAGCAGCGCGTCAGTAGGTTTTGTCAGAGGCAGTTGTACTACGGCCTGTTCCTGCAAGCTGCGAGTGCCTCCCTCTGACCAGCTCCCTAACTCTTTGCTCTCATTATAGCAAGATAAATGTTAGTTACTATCCAGGATGATATGCTCAGTAAGTCTGGCTTGTATTTAAATGAGTTTAAAATAGTAGTATTTGGAGGAGTTACCGTGCTGCAGCGTTCCATGTTCTGTTTCAACATCCTATGAATAATATTACGCTCTTTTCTATGGTTATGCCACCTTTTTCTTTAGCTACGTGGAGCACGCAGCTCTTTGAAAAATGGCAGTGTGTAAATGATGTTGCTGAGAACCTAACCAAACTGCCCAGAGCCAGCAACAACATGTGGAGCTGTACCT